CAGCATGAGGACCTGACAATCATCGATTCTTCCGAGTGCGTGAAAGATACGCTACGACTCACCGACACATCAGTGAACTTCTTCATGAGCAGAGCTCGCCCAGCACCGAGGAAAAGCGAAAAGGAAAGGCAGAAGCCAATAACAAGAGGAATCGCAGCACCTTGCGATACACAGAATTACGCGGCTGCATCACCGACCAGGATAAACTACCCCAACAAAGTGATCCAATTTGGACTGCAATGACGAAACCCTCGAGATAAGCCTGGTAGCGCATTCGTCCGATAGCTGCTTCCTCCGAAGCTCCACCTTCGGTGCCGTTGGTCACGGCCGAGCCCTCCAGAGTACCTTCGCGTGGAGGAGACGGATAAAAACATAAACTCAACAACGGACTGATCATACGTGATTTATCCCACAGCGTATCGATGCATTCACTCCGGGCACAATGCTCAGGTTGCGGACAACGCGGATAGCCATTTGTATTCGCACTTTCGAGCCTAGTGATACGTATCTTTACATATTTGTCCTCTTTGAGAACGATTACATGAATATACGCAAGGAGAGAATAATATGGTTAATGATAAAACAGTGATATTTATGAATAGCTAATCCAGTATTGACGACATTCTTATGAGATCAATTTATCCACCTCTTAGGATCCTGGCACGATCATGGGCCAGGCCTCTAGCGGAAGTATCACGAATAGACTCACTGGCGATCTTAATAATAATGGAGTTTCACCCGTTTTACGTGAAGTGGCGTAAAACTCAGTGGAAAACGCGATATTCGCCGTGAAATATGTTTTTCACTACTGTTTTTCATATCACGGGTGAAACTCCAATAATCAGGATCCTGTAGCTCCTGAATCTGCCGAGCCCGCTATAGTGCGAAAAGAAAAAAAGTAATCCAGCATTAATCGGCCCCGTCAACTTTACTACTTGCATAAGTCCACAGCACTGATCTGTCCGCTATCGTGCTCCACAGTTACGACTTTGGTAACCGTATTGACGACGAGCCTTCTGACTCCTGCCTGGGAATCCAGCACGTCGTGCACCAAGTCGGCCTCCAGCGCACAGCAAAGATTTGCCACACGCACTTGCGTTACTGTCTCGGTCGACGCCATTCAAATGATCCAAAACGGAGAGAACTACGACCTACAATAGGCGAACCTTTGCCCAGACATCCCGGCCCGATCGACGCAACCGATCGAATCACAAACAGTTTTACGCACCATGTAAACGCTCAATAGCTACTCCGGAAACCCACAGCTGGAATATGGCGCAATATTCCGACACCACACGACAGGGAAATCGATCTCAGTAACACATGTGAGTCAAGCGATTTCCACGATGCTGATGATCCCGTGAAAAATCATCTCTAGAGGCTTCGATCGCCCTGCCCATTGATTGAGCCTCCGAGAGAGTGAGCCGCTCATACTCCCCGACCGCTCTTCCACTACTCTCCGCAGGGGACCGACTACAGCAGCTGTCATACGCGGGTCTCATCAGGAGTGCCAAGGCACGCTAGGCCTATTCCAGGCAGTCGGAAACGACACAAAGTACTGTTCACTCATCGGTAAGGTATGGCTCGAGTTTCCCTCTGTTCTTGTACACTCTGAAAAAGTGCACGAGCGAGCTTTCGAGTTTCCTTCCTAACTGTAAAAGCTTGTATATGAATTAGGTTAGAAGTGTACAGAAACCGGCGCGAATTTGCTCAAAATTTTCATATTGTCACCGACACAGTTGGTTGACCATGTGCATATCTTTCCATACTGGACCTACCCTAACTTTCAAACACATACCATCACGACGTGAGAAAAAATCAAGACCACCATGGAGACATCGATGCCCCTCGCAGATCGACTTCGTTCGACCATCCGTCGGAGCTTTGCTTGTGGAGGAACAGTACGGTCTCGGCAATAGTCCGCGGTGAAATCAAGTTGGGAAGGCCTCCTTTGGAAACTAGCTGCGCTCTCACCCATGGAGTGTCGACAGGTCCATCGATCACCACATGGGCTACGTGCACCTCAACACGAAAATACAGTTCACGATGAGTTTCGACTCTCACTCCTTTAGGTCCCAACTCGCAAGTTAGACTCTGCGCGAGCGCCCGCTTAGCATGTAGTGCACCGGAGAAAGCTGAGTAACCAGCTCGACCTGATACGAAGAGAAGGGTCTATAAGAAGACTATGTAGTATCCCAAGAGAATGCAAAAAGACTATGTAGTTTAGCATTGGAAACATCTGCTGCTACAACACCGTCACGCTGGTGTTCGGGTAGGGAATGCGCTGAATGATGGACTCATATTCGATCGAGTGCTTATTCATTAAGACCTCTGAGTTGGGGTATAGTCGACTCCAGAAAATACGACTGACCCATCACGTTCTACCTCTGACTGAAGCCGTTGCCGATGTGACGACCAAGGTCCCCTTTCCTCGCTGGCCCATCCTCCTAGCACATTCGCGACCCGTATAGAAAGCACTCAAACACGCCATCTCCCAAACCTTGCGATATCTACAAGTAGAATGGCTGCAGAGGAACGACAGCCCTTAAGTTCGAGATTGGGATAGACGTTTCTTAAGCCACACTCACAAGGCGAAACTGGGCAATCAGCGAAGTAGAAAATCCATCCGAAAAATGATCTGACACTCTCGCCAAGACTGGCCTACACTCGAGTTGTAGTCTGCTCAACAGAGAAAGACACATTAGCACCAATGTTGTGAACGCAAAGCGTTATGGGTCCAAACCTCTTCTCAGTCTCTTGAAAATATACACGACTTCGAAAAATCAGGATGAGGTCTTCCACTAGAGCGTCTCGATAAAGTGTCCGTCGAAACGACGCAGTTGCTTCTATTCGAATACTCCGACTGTCGTTGTCTCGAGAATCGCATGCAAGGTCAGATCTTACTTCAAAGAGTTTGAAGACTTCTTCTTCGACACGTGCATCAGCTTTTATTCCGTGAATCTTACTGCTTCCCAACTCAGCCACAATTCCTGCGAGTTTGGATCCATTACGCCTCGATGCTACTACAGTGGATATACCTGTGAGCAGTGTTGGAATATGAGTTCGTTTTTCTCAGCTAGGATTCTATAGAAGGGTAGAAAAATGTAACTCCGAAAATTTCCTCAGCATTTCCATGTTGTCACCAACATATGTGGTTATTTGGAATTTTTCCACACTGCCTGTGAGACTTTGTGAACATATCTTTAAAGCCTTACCCGGGTCCTCGGCAAGGTGCTCGATGATGGCTCGGCCAATACCGTCGCCACAGCCGACAACCAGAGCAACTCCACCATGCTGATGCGAGATATGAGACGCGACACGCTCAAGTCGGCTCAATGGTGGTCCGCTGGATAGCATCTAGACAGACCTGCAAAAGTAGGGAGTCCGTCTCGCGAGGCGATCAGAAGTAGCCGCGGTACTCTCTTTACAGTGCGAAGTACTCCTAGCTTTGCTGATTTAAGGAAGTGATAATTTCGTGGCGCGTGACGGAGATAACTGCGCTGTAGTTGTGGTTGCTTGTCCCTCGTGATCGAAGGCGTCTGTGGTTGCTTTCCCTCGTGGTAGACGAATTGTTTTCTAGCATGATAGATGAGCTCTCCTTGTGACCCTCGGCCATGCAAACATCAATTCTACTGGTATATTTCATGTCGTAAAATTTTCGTATTTTTGTCCATTTTTCTCCTCTGTGGTATTTCCCATGTTCAAAGCTATAGCGACATCTCAGGCCTCCTGATAAGGAAACAGCTGCATGTTGACATCAGTTTGATTCCATCCGCCCTCACTCGCAACCATGGCCCCCAAGAAGAAGGTAGAAGAAGTGAAGAAGGTCAAATTCGGTCGACCAGGCAACACTCTTCGCATGGGTCTCGTCGGGCTTCCTAATGTTGGCAAGTCCACCACCTTCAACGTCCTCACCAAGGTACCATGAGCCTCTCAGTTGGTTGTCTCCTCCTATTGTTTTCTCCCCTCCAGTGTTCGATCCCTGCTGAGAATTTCCCCTTCTGTACGATCGACCCACACGAAGCTGTTGTTAATGTTCCTGATGCAAGGTAAGGGCAGCGGCGAACTCGGTTGGATTTCTACTGTCATATTCTCGTCGGCAGGATGGACTGGTTGTCGGCTACTTTCAAGCCCAAGAACACCATTGCTGCGGTCTTGCGAATCTGGGACATCGCTGGTCTAGTGCCCAATGCTCACGAGGGAGAGGTACCAGCCCCGTCGCGCACCAGTCGTGTTATGATGAGTTTCTCTCTTTTGCAGGGTCTCGGAAATGCCTTCTTGTCGAATATCCAGTCGGTCGATGGTATCTACCACGTATGCAGAGCTTTCACTGATGAAGACATCGTGCATACCGAGGGAGAGGTAATTTCGGCCGGGACTTGTTGGGAAAAAATAAATGGCATTTTCTCGTTCAGGTCAACCCCGTTCGGGATCTACAGATCATCCAGTCGGAGCTTATCTTCAAGGATCTTGCCCAGGCTACTAATCGCGCTGCGGAGTATGCCAAGAAGGCTGAGCAGAATAAGAAAATGAAGGAGCTTAAGGAAGAGTAATAAGTCCCAGTGCTTGTGGACTGTAGCAATGAGTTTGTCAGGTATGACGCGCTCGTTAAGTGTCAGAAGGTCTTGGAAAGTGGCAAGCCTCTTAGACTCTGTGATGATTGGACTTCCAAGGAGGTTGAGATTATCAACAAGTACTACGTCGCTGTCATGTCGTGCCCATCAGCGACTCTCATTAGGTATCAGTTCTTGACCACTAAACCCACTGTTTACCTCGTTAACATGAGCGAGAGGGACTTCGTCCGTCAGAAGAACAAGTGGTTGCCTAAGATCAAAGAGTGGGTCGACACCAACGGCGGTGGCCCTATCATTCCCTACTCTGCTGCCTTCGAGATGGAGTACCAAGAATGCGGTAGGCGGGGCGAATTGGTGTTAGTCTTGACACTAGCTAGGATTGTCGATATCGCAGGTGATTCGGAGGAAGACAAGAAGGCTTATCTCGAAAAGACCGGTGCGAAGAAGTCCATGATTGATAAGATCATCAAGACTGGGTAAATTCGCGTCGCTTCGCCTCTTGTGGTATTCTATGATCAGTTACGACTACTTGGATCTTATCCACTTCTTCACTTGCGGTCCTGATGAGGTCCGATGTTGGACAATCCAGAAGGGCACCAAGGCCCCTCAGGCTGCTGGTGTCATTCACACTGGTAACTCTGGCATGTAGTTGATCGGGTGTTGGGAAGGCTCTTCGCTGACAGATATGGAGCGTGGATTCATCTGTGCTGAGACTTACCGATACGAGGACATTCGGGAACTCGGCGATGAGAGTGCTGTAAGCAGAGCCATTATTAATCAGTTGCTAACGTCATTGGTCAAGAACTTTCTCTCTTATCTAGGTTAAAGCAGCGGGAAAGTTGCACCAGAACGGCAAGAATTACGAGGTCCTAGATGGCGATATCTGTTTCTTCAAGTTCAACGTCAGCAAGGGGAAGTAAATGGTTGTCGAGTCGTGTCGGCATCGAACTGTCTCCGCGAGTTTCTCGTTGTTCCCTACGGCTAACCATACTTGGTTTGCGGAAGCAGCCGTCTACTGCGGCTCGTACCGCTGAGATCATCGCTCGTGTTGAGTTTGTAGTTGTCAATATTTCCCGGTTGGATGGAGTATCTTACTGTGCGTTTTTTTTTCATATGGCAGAGTCGTATTTTGCAGCGAAAAGGCGGTATCTTTTTCACCAAGGCCTCGACCCCGAAAGGATCATTCATGCTGATGATGATTGGCAGAAAGAGTAGTATGAGCTCGGCGGGTTGTTGCTAGTACTGGGGTCAACTAATCACTCGGGAGTATATCGTTGGTTCGATCGCACTATATCCCGCGGCATTCAATTGCTGAAAGTCGATACTCTGCACGCCTCTGTGCATCTGACTGCAGACACTTGTATTCAGATCCGAGATCTTGACGAAAATGTTGGTGACATATGAAGATGCTGTGAATGTCTCGAGATGTCTTGACTATGTTTGTTGTCGGGACATCGCAGTGCCTCTGGAAACTCCTTTAGGAGATGATGTCGATAAGGTAAACCCCAGGCATCATGACGCTTTCCAGCGAGTGCTGTTGACCATTGACAGATTGCAATGGTAGGTGCTGTGCCTCGGCGCCAACATGGTGGAGACTCCCGCTTATGCAGCTCAGATCGTAGCCAAGCACCTCAGGAGGAACCCTTCAAGAGCGGTAACTATCTCGAAATTCATTTGTGATTTCTTGTGAGGCCCCGCTTATTCAGTTGACCCTCATTTTATCCGGCGGAATTGGACGGTTAACACCACTGTTGTGTGAAAACGTGATTGTTTGGGCGAAAAAAGAAGGCCTCGCAGAGCTTGGTAATACATGGAGAATCCTATTGATTGCGGTTATGTTACAGCGGAAGAGAAATTCACCTCATGTCTCTTCAGTTTCTTGGCTACCCACTGGAGGTGTACCGTTTCAGAGTAAGTTGAAGGGGCTTGTGAAAACAGAAGAGTTGAAGCTTGTGAAAGAGAAGGACGCGATCAAGTTTAGTCGCCATGGCTACAAATCAAGGGATGATCTCGAAGCGTAGGAGCTGGTCTTGCTCTTGTTGCTCGTCAATAATTTTCGGCATTATGAGTGTCAATAGAAAAATCTACAACCAAGCTTTAGTCTTAGTTGAATAGAATCTTCAAAGAGCGACTCATGCTTTATGCAGTCCCCCGGATTATCCACGTTTGCAGATATCTTACCGAGGCCAATATTTACCTTGAAGTGATACTCGGTGTCCTCGTCGAAAAAGAGAAACTTGTTGAATATAAGGATATTTGTATGCTTGACCGTCACTCAGCAGCATCATTCGATAGGAATGAATTCGACGGCAAGCTCATCATAGTGTTAGAAAATACCAGCACTAACACTGGCAATAATGTTACTCACACGAAGGAGTTACTCAGCGAAGCGAGGCTCTTGAGCCCCGCGTCTCGGATGGCCGTCGTGGATATTCCCTACTTGGGTCGAAGAGCTCTAGCTACTCTCGCGTGGCACTTGGGTGAGTCAAAATTCCTCATTTTCCAGGCGAGAATTGATCATCGCAGGCTCTCTTGTTGCTGGTTTCGAGCCGCGCATGCCCCCGGTTTTGTTGAATTATCCCAAGGATTTTCAAACGCTTCCCGATCGGGTTTTAGCCATACATATGGCTGCCGGCGAGCTTCATCGATTAGCAAAGTAAGTTTGTTCTCCGCATATTTATTGTTGGATGATGGCGTCCCCAGATACTCTCTCGGTGGACCCCAAGAAAGATTTTTCGACAGACCAAATGACTTTCCAGACTTGCTGTATGAACGGGTTGTTGAAGCTGAGCCTCTGTTGAATGAAATGTGCCGTGTCCTCGGAGAAGATATCCCATTGTGATTCCTCCTGTGTTTAGTGTGCTGAACTTTCTAAGCTTGAGCGTTGTTTGTTGAGTGAAAGGGTTATCAACGCCCAGCGTCCATGAAATCTTTCGTTGAGGATAGGGGAAAGGTACACTTCTTAAACAGTGAGGGTGGCTGTAACTTACAGCCTGTAAGCCGCAACTGTGTCAGTGAAGGTTTCGTTAGAAAGAAAGATCAAGCAAGTGCACGAAATGAGAAATATGTTGGTGTATTCTGATGTTATCGATCAAACCGTATGTTGTGAGATCGAGATGGTTCCACCCATGAACCAGTCTCGTTCCTTCCTTTTTTCAAGTCTTGTCTCAAG